GATCAGAGATGCTTCAAGGACAAAGCGAGGCGTGAACCAATGTTCCTTCTGCTTTTCGCACTTCTGGCGTAAAAGTCCAGGGCGCGCAGCAACAATGTCTTGGGGCTTGACAGGGAAATATTGGGGGGCATCAGGCGCATCGGAACCAAGCCTCTTGCAAGAATGGCATCTCCAGGGCCGGCAGTGGAGCGCAAATGGGTAAGGGACATCCCAAATCCAAACAGGCCCGTGCAATCGCGTTCTCCCCCACGGCCCAACCTTGTGGTTGAACAAGTCTGCATGCTGCACAGCGGCAGCAGGCGTGACCTGCTGCGTTCGAGTCGGCCCCCCATCCAGCGGCGTGCTAATGTCTGCAACCTCAAGGACCTGAGCAGTGGCCTCCACCGCTTCAAGGGCGTGTCTGTCCGTCTGCTGCTTTTTGCGGTGAAGCACAACAGAGGACCCAGACACGCGTAGAACCTGAAAGTCCAAACGAACATGGGTAAGTTCGCCAAAAGCTACAGTTCGGAGCTGACCTAACGTGTAGCATGGGGTGGAGTGGCGGCTGGCCTGGGATGACTGCACCAAAGCTATGTCAGCTTGGGGCAGCTTCCGGCGCAGAAAAACATCCAAGATATATACCGGCACACCGCGCCAATCAGCACTCAATCCGCGCTGCGGGCGCAAGGCGCCCAGTGGTGCAGGAAAAGAATCCACGGCATCGAACCGAAAAAGGTTCAAATTCTGTAGAGCCAGCAGCACTTCTGGAGTACGACCGGCAGCCATACGGTCAGCGTAGCTAAAAGAGTCCTGCCTGTGCCTAATCTCTGTTGGAACTCGAGTTGCTGCAGACGCTGCTGGCAGCCTCCTGGGTGTGCCACGCCTTGTCCGCTGCCGCTGTGGAGCAGCAGCAATGGCCTCTTCTGAAAAGCTCTGCGCGCCTCAGCCACAAAGGGGCGAGCCGCGAATCTGACGTTGGGGCGTCTCTGGCCTTTGGCTCAGCGTAGCCCCCAAAGTTGTCAATGGACAACAACTTTGATTGATCTGAAGCTAGCTATAGCCAATCAAATTCTGCCCCTCAACTCAGAGCGGCTGCGACCCCATCAATGAAATATAGGGCCCACCACGACCAGTCCAATGACGTTGGGGATCAGTTGAGGGAGAGAAACGGCATCAGTTCAAAACACATGAACAAAATGGCAGCACCGTTCCGCGCGGCACGTCGCCAAAAGATGAAAAGTCTAAAAGCCCGAGGACTGCAGCCTTTGCGCTTTGCATTTCCCCCATGCTGCCACGGCGCCCCGTCTCTCTGGTTGGACACCAGCCAACAGATCTCGGCCTGAGGTGAGAATGGGGTACGGGAAGCCTTTACCAGCAAACACCACACTTGAAGGCTAAATGGAGGGTGTGTGGAGAAAGGGGGTCAGCAAAAGTCACTTACGCGAAGTTAGTGCATCTAAAATGCCTTCCACGAAGTTCTGCGAAGGTTTATTGGATTTTGTTGCAATCAATTCTCCTAAATGGCCTACCATTCAAAAAACAAGAGTCAACGAACAGCCCCAGGTGCTACAGATGCCCCGCGCCTTCCACGACGTTAGTAGAATACTTTTCGCAAAACTCTTGCTGCGCACTACCCATCCGTTTGCCTCTGAAAACTTGAAGTGAATTATTCCGAAAAACAGATCAAGAGCGAAACATGATCAATAAATCCGAAGAGGATTCTTCGCGGTCCCTTGAACTGCTGCGCTCATATCAGGACACATCCAACCCTTATTAGAGAAATTCCTCTTGGCAAGCCGCTCCCGGCTATTGTCTCGTCCTCCACATCAATGCCTGGGCTGTTGCACCGCTTGCCAGCGAACACCCTAGAAGCCATAGAATGCCAAAGGTGACTTGAACTGAAAATCACCAGGGGGAGTTGCAGCAAACATCGTAAGTATCTGGTCTTTTCAACATCGCTGCAGGCCTCCAAAAGTCTATTATGGCCGCACTCTTTCACGCAACTTGCAAAAAGGAAGCATGGCAAAATGGCTTCCCTTTGCGCCGCATGCAGTCATGGCTCGCCGTCTCTTTGGTTGAGCGCCGTCCACATCTACAGACGCAGCTCGGCCTGAGCTGTGGCGCCCGCAAGATAAGTAGGAATCTTGCCCGCGCTAGTTACGCCTACAGGTGGAGTTCAAGTGAATTCAAAAGGTGCTTCCCAAAAAAGTATGGAGAGTTCTGTGTTTGAAATGGTCCGGTGGGAGACATGCACTCTAGACTTCTGTGGCTGAATTCTTAGCTTGACAAGGTCAAAATGGATGAAGGGATATCCTGCAAATACAGCTGCTTCCCCGCTCTGCACTGCGCATCCTCACACGCGGTCGGCGCCTTGTCTCTTTGGTTGAGCAGTAGCTAACAGATCTACAGCCGCAGCTCGGCCTGAGATCAGGACCCGAAAATCCAAGCCAGAGGTCTTGGCAGTGAACACTAGCAATGTCGCAGGTGCACTTGAAGTAAGCAACAACAAAAAACTGATCAAGACTCAGGCTTCCGGAGATGATTGTTCGTGGTCCTGTGGCTGCTGCACCCATCCAACGCTTTTTTTTATCGAAACTGTCTCATGACAAGCCGCTCCCAGCTATTGTCTGATCCTCCACATCAATGCCTGGGCTGCTGCGCCCGAAACAATACAAGCAAAGGCTTACCAGCGAACACCGCCTTCGCTACAAGTGGTCTTGACTGAAAATCACAAGGGGAGAGTTGAAGTGAAAATTAAACGTTCTTGCCAAAAAAACTTCAAGGCACGCTGCGTTTGGACTGGACTGCGCACACTGCAACAAAGTCTGCCCGTTTAGATTTCTGGAGATGATATTGCGGCTATTGCCACAGCTTGGCGAAAAACAACAAAGCAAAATGACATGACAGCTGTTGCGCTTCGCTGTGCGCCACAGGACGTGCAGTCATGGCTCGCCGTCGCTTTGGTTGAGCACCATCCAGATCTACAGACGCAACTCGACCTGAGCTGTGGCAGCACGACTAGCTAGCTATACGTCAGGTTCAGGAAAACTCATGGCGTGCGCCCCCAAAAGTAGAATGCATTCTGCGTAGTGGAAATGGCCCGGTCGGAGAAATATAGACTTCTGGGTGGCTGCACTTTCGCTTGACATGGCGAAAAACGATACTGGGATGTCCACTGCTTCAGATACAGAGCTGTTACGCTCTACCGCTCTACACTGCACGTGGTCACGCGCAGTCATGGCGCCTCGTCTCTTTGATTGAGGAACAGCCAAGGGATCTCCAGCCGCAGCTCGACCTGAGCTGAGACACCCGAGCAAATTCCAAGCCAGCGCAGGCCAGCAATACTGGAATGCAAACGTCAACTGCAACACGCTTATACGCATCCCACGCATATGGTGGTTGTCCAATATTCTTGTTTATTGAAACGGCCATTCTTCGCGAAAAAAACATTAACATTCGCGAAACTTTCGCGAACCCTGTGTTTTTCTTTCGCGGGGGTTCACCATGTCATGAAACCATTTAACCTGGTAGGGGCTCGATTTCTAAATACAGTTTGTGGTGTTGCTATGGGCTACGGGGTTCCTCTGGAGCCGATTCATTCGCCGAAACCTTCGCCAGACTTTCGCGAAACTTTCGCGAAATAATCCCTGGTTTTTACGGCATACATAACATAGGGTGGACTACATGAAACAGGAAGGAAGCTTCACACGGATTCCAAAGTTGAAGCTGCTGACGGTCAGAAAAGGATGTGGTTATGCATGGGGCAAGCCTGAAGGCTCACCAAAGAACATACAATAAAAATTCATACTTTCGCGAATCTTTCGCGAAAAAAACATTAACATTCGCGAACTCGAAAAAAAACTTTCGCGAGGCCCACGATCATGTCATCCAAGGCTCTCGACATTAAAAACCCTTACAAGGACCTTTTGGATAACTCCCATATATACTTGAATAGTAGTGGCAAGCCGCTCCAGATTGTGTCATCTTCCGAGTCAGCTGCCGCTGCCATCTGGTAAACACATGGGCTGTTCAAAGATCGAAATTAACACTTGTGGAACCCATGACATCCAAAGCATGTGGCGGATTCTGTTCCGCAAACAGTTTGACTGTCAAAAAAAGGGGCCAAGCTTTAAGTTACTTGTAGCGCGCCGTGAACCTCCACAAAATCTGATGTGCACTCTGATGTGCTTCTGTTGCCTACACAAAATGCTGCGGCACAGGGTGGTCCTGCGACATAAAAGCCAAGGAAACCCGACGAAACCTAAAACGTGACGACCATCTTGAGTGCATGGATCGAAGCGCTTGCAGGAACTCTCAGAATCGGAAGTGCGTAGTCGGTATCTTCTGTACCACTTGCGTTTAAAGGCCTCAGCTTTACCAGAGACCATTTCCGTGAGCTGAGTACACTGACTATACGCTGAGTACGCTGGTTACGCCGATTACGCTGATTACGCCGGTTACGCCGGTTACGCTGGTTACGCTGGTTACGCTGGTTACGCTGGTTACGCTGG